CCCCAAAACCCCAAAACCCCAAAACCCCAAAACCCCTAATTCATCAACTTTAATAGAAAATATTTAAAATTAGTTTCTAAAAGCTTCATACAAATGAACAAGGTGCTAAAAGGAAGGAATCATCCTTTCGCAGTTGGCGAAGATGAGCATGCCGGCTTCTACGAATGAGATGATGAAGGCGAAGAGGAAAATAGTGATTACCAAGAGTATTCTGGTGATGAACATGTTCATTATCCACAATTAAGCAGTAATAAAAACTCCCTCAGCCATTACGATCAACAAGAGCTGTTTGAGAATAGTGATCGGGGAATACTCCAGCATGACCTTAATGACCAAAGATGGGTAATCAGTGAACCAGAAAATATTTCAGGGACTTCTGAGGACAAAAGTTTGAAATACGATCAAAGAAATTATAGAGGAAATGAAGCAGGAGCAGAGAGCTTCGAGAATAATATATTAAATCATCCTCGTGCTATCAAAGGGAAGTATTTCCAGAACGATGATTTTCAGGATGTTCAGGAGAAAGAGCTTCTAACTATTACAGTTGAGATTGGAAACGGACAACAAGAAAATATCGTTATAATGCAAGGAGAAACCGCAGATGAAGTCGCGGAAAAGTTTTGAAATAAATACGATATGAATGAAGAGCTCAAACTGCTCTTCAAAGAACAAATTACTCAAAATATTGACCAAGCATTGAATGAGATCGATGAGCAGGAAGATGTTGAGGAGAGTCAGACTGAAGGGTTTGAAAATGATTATAAGTTTCATAATGAAAAATAATACGCAGTCCGAAAGTGCTCATATAGAACATATTTCAACAGCACTAGAACCAACTCCTCCCCAAACTATGTTCGCTAGCAGGACTGGAATGAAGACTCAAGAGTCTTCTTCACAAAAAGTAGACTGACATACATACTCGACACCTGGACCTATTCTAATAAATCCGAATAGAGGGGAGAAAAGGACTTTGCCACAACAGAAAAAGTCTAAGAATAGAGTAAAGGCAAATAAGTCTTTTAACAATGCAAATGATTTCACTCTCAACCAGCCACAGATCAATACTCATAGTGCTCAGCTTGCTAGCAAGAAGAGGATCCCTGGCAATTCAGTGTACACTCGCCTCCATTCCCAAGCAGTGCAGAAGCAGAAGAGAGCAAACCGAAGTAAAATTTCAAATGTCAGTTATGAAGCCAGTTCCATAGTTCGAAATGCTAAACCTGTGCATAAATCAGCCAAGAAGAGAGGAAGAGATATGTTCAGCAATCCATTCACAGAACGGAAGAGGACTCCTCACAACTATGGAGAGAAACTATATCAAGACGGGTTAAAATAGAATGGAAGAAAGGGAGAGGAAGTCTAAACATGAAAAAGTTCAAAATGAACTAAAGCAGTATGAAAGCCTTACTTTTAAACCAAAAGTTAATTCAGTTAGCAAGAATTTTAGAAGAGGCTCAAAGAAACTTGAAGACCAGCTAATTGAGAAAGGAAAGAAGACTAATGATATGATCGAGAGAAAGAGGAGCGAGCTCCTCTTTGAGCAGCAACATAGCCATAGCTTCAGACCTAAGATCAATAAGAAGAGTGACCATATTATTCAAGAGCGCTCCAGGCAATTTCTTGAAGAAAGCTCTAGAATGGCAGAATCTCCTCATAATTTCTCACAAAATTTTGAGACTTCTTACATGACATCGGAGAATAAGTTGAACAAATTTAATCTATTATATGATGATGCTATTAAGAGAAAGCAGAGAAAAGATGAAATTTATTCAAGATGTTTGGATTCTCAATGTACGTTCCAGCCAGATTTGACAAAAGGCAATCGCTATGATTCCTACTACCCTGAAAATCACGGAGATTTTGGAGATAGGCTTTCCAAACCTTCAACAATTAAAGAGAAGTCCAGGATGAGACATCTCCAGGATGAATTCTATGACAAGGAGAGTGGCCAACCTCTTTTTCGACCCAAAGTTGGAAGACCTCCTCTATCTAAGCGAGATTTTGAGAATCTTCCTGTTACAGAGAAGCTCTACATGGAAGCACAACATAAGAGACATTTAAAGGAAGAGAAGATAAAGCAAAATTTTAGTAAAAGAGATACTTCAGATAGTAGACCTAAGATCCAGGATAAATCTGAAGAAATCCTTGAGCAGAAGAAGGCAAGAAAGTTCCACCAGATCTTTCAGATCCTAGATGCAGAAAGCAATGGTGTGATATCTGCTGACAAAATAGATATCTCAGGGCTTCCACCTGACATCCTTGAGATATTCACACCTCTTCTGTGAGAAATGGAAGAACTGGAGCACATTCTTGACCTTGAGGAGTTTATTGATGCTTCGATGAGGCTGTACGATACTCTTAAGATTCCTGAAAAGAACAAGATTCTAATGATGAAGGACAAGTGGAGCTCGAAGAAGGAGAATAACGATGACCAGTGAACTTTCCATCCGAAATTGAACCACAATTCTGTAAAGATAGCCAACAGAACTAGACCTGATGCTAGGAATTTGGCAGATATGTTGATGGGCAAGAAGTTAGAAGCTGATGCAAAGATTGATCATAGTAGAAGAATGAAGAGCGATGAAGAGCTTATTGGCTGCACCTTCCATCCTCAGATAGCAACATCAAATCAATACCGAGAAGCTTACCTTTCCATGAAAGCACCAAATCCTCCTGTACCACCCTACTAGCCCAAAATCCTAAAATTTTACCGTATAAATCCCCACTTTAGCCCAAATTCTCAATTTCTCTACTATAAACTCCCTCAGTGATGCACAAATTTGTTCTTGTAGTACTGCACGGAAAATTTAAGTGGGAATTTATGTGGGGATTTTAAGGGGTTTTGGGGTTTTGGGGTTTTGGGGTTTTGGGGTTTTGGG